GGTCAGGTGGAATTTTTTCTTGCTCACCATGAGGATGGTCAAGGACTGAGGGAGCAGGGAGGCTGTGGGATCTCTGTTGCTAGAGATGCTCCAAGCTCAGGTGGGTGAGGCTGTGAGCAACATCTTTTGAGTGTGGGGTTGGGCTCCAGACCTTTCCTAACTTGAATTCTTCCCCTCTGTTCTGCCCTGGTGAGGTCACGTCTGGAGAACTGGGTCCAATTTTGGGCTCCCCAGTTCATGAAGGACAAGGAACTAATGGAGAGAGTCCAGGGCAGGGCCCCCAAGATGCTGAGGGGATGTAGCATCTGCCTGGGAGGAAAGGCTGAGGGAGCTGGGGCTGTTCAGCTGGAGAGGAGGAGACTGAGGGGGAATCTCTTCAAGGCTGAGCAGTATCTCCAGGGGGCTCAAGAGGGGGGGACCAGACTCTGCTCAGGGCTGCCAGGGACAGGACAAGGGGCACAAGCTGGAGCACAGGAGGGTCAAGCTCCCCAGGAGGAGGAACTTGTTGCCTGGGAGGGTGGCAGAGCCCTGGGCCAGGCTGCCCAGAGAGGCTGTGGAGGCTCCTTCTCTGGAGACATCCCAGCCCCTCTGGAGGTTCCTGTGGGACCTGCTGCAGGTGGCTTGGAGGGGTGATGTCCAGAGCTCCCTGCCAACCCTAAAGACTCTCTGGATCTAAGATCCCAGGGAGATTGTGGCTGCCCCCTCCCTGGAGGTGTTCAAGGCTCCATCTGGTTGAGTGGGAGGTGCCCATGGCAGGGAGGGTCGAACCTGATGATCTTTAAGGTCCCTTCCAACCTTCACCATTCCACGGTAACATGCAGGTACCTTCACTGGTGTGACTTTCTCCTCCCTCCCAACCCAGGGAATGACCATGACCAACTTCCTACCTTCAGCCTCTGATGGAAACTGCTATTACATCCTTACAGAAGACTGTGCCTACGGCAGCAAGTACTTCCAAGCAGGAAACATGTGCTTCTGCAGCGAGAGGAATTACCTGCGCAACTTCACTGATGACCACAGGCCCCCAGCTTGCTTCTTGAAAGTCATCATGCTGGATGACAGCTCCACTGTCACCATCAACATAGAAATCCTTCAGCCCGTGCGTGAGGAGGTGGCCACCTTCCTCCTGGCTGTTGGTGGCCACAACGAGCGCTTGAACTACTTCTTTGAGAGGCTGAGCTTGGACAGAGCTCTGAGGGCAGTGCCAGGGCAGAAAGTGGTGGTGGAGGTTGACAGGCACCGTTTCCCTGGAATCATCCGTTACATTGGGAGCATCTACAAAACCAGTTCAGCTGTCCTGTCTCCCTCCTACTTCGGGGTGGAGCTACAGGTAAAGTGCCCAAGGGGTTGACCTGCTGAAAAGCAGCCCTGAGAAGGAAGACCTTGCAGTCCTGGTAGACAATAACTGAACAATGAGGCAGCGTTGTGCCCTTGTGGCCAAGAAGGCAAATGGTATTTTGGGACGCATTAGGAAGAGTGTGGCCAGTAGGTCGAGGGAGGTCATCCTTTCTTCTGCCCTAGTGAGGCCACAGCTGGAGAACTGTGGCCAATTCTGAGGTCCCAGTGCAAGAGAGACAGAGAACTGCAAGAGAGACAGAGAACTGCAGGAGAGAGTCCAGTGGAGGGCAACAAGGAAGGGAACTGCTGGAGAGAGTCCAGTGGAGGGCAACAAGGAAGGGAACTGCTGGAGAGAGTCCAGTGGAGGGCAACAAGGAGGGGAACTGCTGGAGAGAGTCCAGTGGAAGGCAACAAAGATGACTGGGGGACTGGAGCATCTCTCTTATGAGGAGAGGTTGAAAGAGCTGGGACTGTTTAGCCTGGAGAAGAGAAAGCTGAGAGGAGACCTGATTAATGTCTATAAATATCTAAAGGGTGAGTGTCTGGAGGATGGAGTCAGGCTCTTTTCAGTAGTGCCCAGCAACAGGGCAAGGGGCAATGGGCACAAACTGGAAGATGGGAAGTTCCATCTGAACAGGAGGAAAAACTTGACTGTGAGGGTGACCAGGCACTGGAACAGCCTGCCCAGGGGGGTGGTGGAGTCTCCTTCTCTGGAGACATCCCAGGCCCACCTGGATGCAGTCCTGTGTAATGTGCTCGGGCAATCCTTGCCTTGGCAGTGGGGTTGGACTAGACAATCCTGTGAAGAAAGTAAGATGCTTCTTTGGTGTTTCTGTGTGTTCAAAGCACCTTTCTGACCTGTTTTCAGGGCGAGGGGGAAAACAAGGGGTGCAACGACGGATCCCACCGCGGCACCGAGTATTTCAAGTGCAAGAGGAACTGTGGGATCTTCCTGCCTTTTAACAAAGTCCTGTTTCTTCCCATAACTGATGACGATGATGTGAAACAGAAGGGAAATCTGGACATGGAAGAGGGGGTTCCTGTGAAAGTGGGAGATGCAGTTAGTTTCTACGTGGATGAAGTCCTCACCAGAGGAGTGGCCATGGCAGTTTACAGGGAGGGAACCCAATGGTTTGTTAAAGTTTGTCCGGTAAGAGGGATCTTGTTGCCTTCTCTTGGGTTTGAGGAGGGTGGGATTTTAAAAATAAAAAGGGTGTGACATGAAACTGGGAGGGACATGAGGTTACATGCAATGTTTCCATGCTTGTTTGAAAACCTGGCCCGTGTTCCAGGAATG